ATGATAAATCTACTTTTGAGGTGAAAATATTGATTAACTTTAAACTTTGATATGTTTAATATGCATGTTGTGATTTCTAGGGAAACTGTCAAAGAATAAAAACGTCTTATCACTGAAGGACATGGGTTATTAGATTGAAAGGGTGATAAAAATGGCCCATACCAAGCCCATCATTATAACATTTCAGATAAGATTAAGATAAGATTCTAGAAGATTTGAAAGAAAAAAGATCACTTAGAGATAGGGAAACTGAATAGCATTGAAATTCTTAACTGTAACACTTGAGATTAGAACTTAATAGAGCAATGACCTCAAAGTTTCAATGGAAAACATTTTTAAACTTTGAATTTTATTTCTAACAAAACTGTATCAAATATGAGGGTAGAATAAAGACGTTTTGAGACATACATGGTCTCAAAAGTTCGGCTGGGGTGCCACTTTTCTCAGGAATGTCTGGAGAATGTTTGATCAAAACATGAGAATGAAGCAAGAAAGAAATATGGGAACAGGAAACAGGAAGTCAGCACTGAAGAGAGGTGAAGGGAAATTCTGGGAAGATAGGAAGCAAACATTGACAACAACCAGAAAGTGATATTTTAATTCAAATACTGCTGAATTAAAAAGAAGGAAAAAAGAATTCCAACTCATTGAGCCAATGAGGCTAAGTGGGAATAATGAACATTCTGTATTTTGCTCTAAATTTTTTTTTCTTTCTAATTCTCTAGTATCTTTGCTTTCAGTTTTGTAAGTCCCCAGCTTTGACAGTGGGGCTAATGGCATGCCTTTCCAGTGTAGTAATGAACTTACTCTTCTGTTACTTGTTGGGGAAAAAATGGGGTAAAGATGTCAAGCCTATAGAAATTTGTAAGTTTTGGAACACATTTGTTCATTTGATCCATCATCTTAAAGATATGGGAAACTGGGCTTGTTGATATCTCATACTTATGTTAAATTTTCTGGTTAACCTCCCGCCCTCTCTTTCTCCCTGCCCACCTCTCTCTCATGATACTGTTTCTTAGTGACTTAGTTATATGCCAAGGTCAAAGCGAAAAAGACTGAAACAGCTAGGACTGTAACTGTAGTCTCTTAGAGAACTTCCAGAGTATGGAAAGTGTTCCATTAAACCAGTTGCTCAATAAAATTTGTCCAATGCATTTATTTAGACTCCTATGAGCAGTCTAATGTAGTGGTTAAATACACCAACTTTGAAATCGGTCAGATTTCAGTTCAAATTTCACCTCTCTGCAACTTGCTGGCTGTGTGACTTGGGTCAAGTAATATATATACATTCTCTAAGCATCAATTCCTTCATATGTAATATAGGAATATTAATACCTATTTCAAAAGATTAGATGAGTATATAAAGTACCTGACATATGTTCGTGGATGTGTGCATACAGGTAAAGCTTGTATGGCATATAGTAATTTAATATTGCTATTATTATTCTTATAAAAATATATCTTTAAAATTTTTTTTGTTTTGTAGATGCAGCCATCATGGTCTCTTGCTGTGCTATTTCTTGGTCAACTGTTGATTATCAAATAGCTTTAAGAAAATCTTTGCCAGATAAAAATCTCCTTACTGGACCCTGCCCCAAACTCATATATCTCTTTTACAAGTTGTTTACATTATTATCTTGGATGTTGAGCATTGTACTTCTTTTATTCTTAAATATTAAGATTGCTTTATTTCTGTTGTTATTTCTTTGGGTTTTAGGCATATTGTGGGCATTTAAAGAGGACACTCAATTTTGTGCTTCCCAGGGAATGGAACTGTTGTATAGGATTGTCGTTGGATTCATTCTTGTCTTTACATTTTTTAATATTAAGGGACAGAATACCAAATGTCCCATGTCTTGTTATTATATTGTAAGAGTGTTGGCCACATTGGGGGTATTGATTGTGTTCTGGTTTTACCCACTCTCTATTTTTAATTCAGATTATTTTATACCTATCAGCGTCACTATAGCGCTTACTCTTCTCCTTGGAATTATCTTTCTTCTTATTTATTATGGGACTTTGCACCCAAACAGAAGTGAAGAAACAAAAATGGACGAAATTGATGGAAAACCAGTTCAAAGCGATTGTAGGATGAAGTATTTCCTAATGGAATAAGCTATTCACTTATGAGATATGTTTAATTTTTTTGTTTTATTGGTTAGTAAAGAAAATGTTTGTGTATGTGTATGTGTTGTTTTTAATTTTTGCCTTCTTTTATTTGAGATCAATTCTGCTACATTAATTATGAATGTTAGAGAGTATAATAATATTTTTATTATTTAAATCAATTTCTCATTTGGTTTTGAAGATCTTGGGTACTTAGATATATTTGCTTATTGCCTGGTAGGGTTGCCATCTTGAACTTGAATTGAAAGAAATGGTTTGCTTCCTGTAATTAGAAGGCTGGAATTGAACTTCCCAACTTTTCCCTTATTGTTTCTGAACTAAAACTGATGTACTTATAGTGGGGAACTCAAAGGAAGAGAAGAGCAGAATACTCATTCTTCTTTCCTGCATTTTCTTGATTCAGTGTGTGTATTTTGAGCAAGGGACAGATTAAGTAGAGGAAAAGAAAGGGGGGAAGAAGAAGAACACAAAACAGATAATTTACCATCTTAAAATCATTTTTAAGTGTACAGTTCAATAGTGTTAACTATATTCACTTTGTTGTGCTGCTCTATAACATTTTCATCTTGTAGAACTGCGGTTCTGTTCCCACTGAATAACAAATCCCCATTCCTGTCTCTCTCTCTCCAGCCTCTGGCAACCACGATTCTATTTTCTATTTCTATGAATTTGGCTACTGTAGATACTTCAAATAAGTTGAATCATACGTTATTTGTCTTTTTGTGAGTGGCTTATTTCTCTTAGAATAGTGTCCTCAGGGTTCTTCTGTGTTGTAGCATGTGACAGGATTTCCTTCTTTTTTTAAAAAAGCTGAGTAATATTCCATTGTATGGATATGCCACATTTTCTCTGTCCATCACTGGGTTGCTTCTACCTCTTGGCTGTTATGAATAATGCTGTAATGAACATGGGTTTGCAAATCTCTCTCCAATATTCTGCTTTCAATTCTTTGGGATATACACTCAGAAGTGGGATTGCTAGATCATATAGTTATCCTATTTTTAATCTTTTGAGGAACCACCATACTGTTCTCTGTAGTGTCTGCATCATTTTACAGTTCCACCAACAGTGTATTAAAATTCTCATTTTCCACTCCTCACCAACACTTGTTATTTAATTAATTAATTAATTTAGGATAGCAACTATCCTAATGGGTATGAGGTGATATCTCACTATAGTTTTGATTTGCATTTCTTTAATTATTAGTGATGTTGAGGAACTTTTCATGTACCTGTTAGCCATTTGTATATCTTCCTTGGGGAAATGTCTGTATTTGATAAGGTGTTAATATCCAGAATATAGAAATAACTACAACTCAATAGCAAAAATACCCAAATAACCTGATTAAAAAGTGGAGTAAGGATTTGAAGTAACCAAATCATATTTAAACAGTTTTCTGCATTATTCTTTCTAGTAAGAAGTAAATTTTGATCCTAGGAGTAATAGGTAGGACAGTTGGGTTAGGTTAAACTCCTGGAAATAATGAAGCTTTTCTATCAAACTCTCTTTTCTTTTTCGTTCTTTACTTTTTCTTTTCCTTGGGTCAGCTCTTAATGAATGTGTCCTCAAACAATAGTCTTCTCTATTACAAAGAGAAAAAAATTGCCATTCCTACATTTAGTCTTATAACTTAATATAAAATTGCTGTCTAGCTGTTGGGAAGAACGGTGAACTTACTGGATACGACACATTTCAACTACTAGAAAACAATAAGTAAATGTTAAGTGCTAATTCTCTGTCTAGCACTCTGTTAGGTACTGTTTTGGATACAAAACAAGTGTAGAATAAAATTACGTTTCTGGAGAGAGTAACATACTGAAGCGTTTACAGAAACTGACAAACTATTTTTCAGAATGTTTACTATTTGCGATTTTCACTTAATAGTAACTTAAACAAATCTCAAGTAATAGAAGTGGCTATATTTGTATGCTTACAAGGAGTATATATAAAAACGCAGTAAGATGTCGCTTGCACTACTCTTTAAGAAAGTTAGGCAACGTGGAAGAACCTTTTACTCTTGATGGAGCTAGGGAATCTACAGTTTACTTTGGGAACATGATCCTTGTATGTGTGAACCCCACTTATTGCATTTCTCCCTTTCTGTGGATGTTTGGTGTATTTATATATATGTATATTTGAGAGAGTGAAGATGAGAAAAGAGCTTAAACTCACTTAGCAGTTCTTGAATCAGTACCTTTGAATCATAAAGGACCAAAAGCCTTTGAGTCATAAAATGAAAGTGCTTGTCATTCCTTCCTCAAGATTTAAATGCCTCTGTGTTACTTCCCTTCAGCCAAGGGAAATTCTTATAACATCATCTGTAGGTTAGGTTTGTTGATGATGAATTTCTTTTCTTTTTCTTTATCTGAATATATCTTTATTTCTGCTTTATTCTTACAGGATATATAGGATATAGAGTTCTGGATTGACAGTTTTTTTTTTAAAGCATCTTAAAGATTATTCCACTAATTTCTGGCCTCCATTGTTTCTGATGACAAATTAGTGATAATTCAAATCATTGCCCCCCTATTTTATAATATGTTGCTTTTCTCTGGCTATTTTGAGATTTTACCTTTAGTTTTTGGTTTGCAATAGTTTGACTACTGTATTTATGGGTATAGCTTTTCTTTGTAGTTATCCTACTTGGGGTTCTCTGAGTATCTTAAAGCTATAAATTTTACCATATTTAAAGTTCCTGGCCATTATTCTTCATATTCTCTTTCTATCACATTCTCTCTCTTCTTGGACTTCACTAACACATATGTTAGACCTGTTGATATTATTCCACAGACCATGAAGGCTCTGTTCGTTCTTTTCCAGCTTATTTTCTCTGTCCTTTATATTAAATTTGTCTTTAAGTTCACTGACTTTTATTTTATCTTCAGTCTGTCAAGTTCATCCAATGAATTTTTTAAAAAGAATTCAGATTTTTTTTTATGTTTTTGAATTTTCATTTGGTTCTTTTTTATGGCTTTTATTTCTTTGCTAAGTTTTTATATCTTTATTCATTATGAGCATATTTTCCTTTTTATCCTTGATAATAATTATAATTGATGCTTTAAAATCCTTGTCTGTTATTTCCAGTATCTGCATCATCTCAGGATTGGTCTCCATTGATCACCTTTTCTCTTCAGTATGGGTTGCATTTTCCTGCTTTCCTTATATGTCTTCTAATTTTGAATTGTGTCCTGGATGTTATGAGTGATGCACTTTAGATCCTCTTGATTCTGATTGTTATTTATAGGATTTTTTTTTTTAGCAAGCAGTTAGCTTGAACTTTAAACTCTGAACTTTAAACAATTTTTATTTGTTTAGCCTTCAGTGTACTGCTTGGAGTCTGCCCCTCATGTGTGCAGAGTTCAGAGTCAGTCAGAGACTTGGGAAGAATTAATATCTGGAATGAGGTTTACTCTATGTTGGCTCGTTCCTTTCTATAATTTTCAGTATCACTTTTCAGCTAACGTGGTCACTCCATACGCTGTCCTCTGGGACTTTAAACTGCTAGGACTGCAGATTTTCTACTTGGGTTTGTGTACTCAGTGTGTTGACTGTGGTCTGTCTTCACTTAGTACCAGTTCTTCTTAATGTTAACCTCTTTCCAGTATCTGCCTACTTTTCTTGCTCTCAAGTGCTTTCACTTTTTTTTCCATATTTTGTCCAGAGTTTATAGTATTTTTTTTTTGTGAGAGTGTTTAAGCAGTAAGAGCTCTGCCCATCTTTTTTTATTAACCAGTAATATTTTCAGCAGTCTTTCTGTAATATTTGCATTTGTTCTGTGATATTTGCTTAAATATGGTGTGTAAATTTCTTTTATTTAACATTTAAACTTCTCTTAACCCTTACTTTCTTGGCCCTCACAAAAAAGGGCAATATAGATATTATTATTATTATCATCATCATCCTCATCATCATCATCCTCATCATCATCACTACCCTTTAGCTGGGAAAATCAAGCCTCACAGAATTTAAGTAACTCACCAAAGCTCACACAGATCAAATCTCATACTTTTGACCTCAAGTCCTGTTTGCTTTCTGTGGGACCATGCTGTTTTTTTTATCTGATAAGTAGATGAACTAACCATTGGCAACCTAGAGCTGATACTAACTTATACATGATTTACAAATTATTAGTAAATTACTTATTTGCCCACAATACAATTTTAAAAAGTTTGGCCCAAATATTTTGGCCTTAATTCAGGGTGGAGCTGAGGTTGTATCACTGATAGTTTCAATAATTCAACTAACAATATATGTATTGGGAAGTAGCAATTCATGTAATGGAGAAAACGGGTAGAAAATAATATACATCTGCTAAAGAACTTGAATATTAAATGCCCCACAGAAACCTGGATTGAATATTCAATCCATTCAACAAACATTTTCCCCTTGATTTTATAACCAAGAAGCAAACAAGTGGATCCGGGTCAGATGTTTTGGCTAGTTAACAAGCTCTTAAAATGAACTTTTGCTATCTAGTGAATTTATTCTTATTCATTTTATCCTGTTATTTTCTGTACCATCCAGTCATGGATTTATAACACTTTAGAATCTCCCCAACTAAATGTTAGCTTTTTCTAGATTATTCTGCGCATATAAGAGGCCTTTGAACATTTAGAAAAAACATTGGAATAATTATGATCAAGACTCTCATTAAAGAACACTCATAAGCACTGTCCTAGTCAAGGTTCTCCAGAGAAACAAAACCAATAGGATAGATACAGATACACGTAAGAGGAGATTGATCGTGAGAATTGACTCACGTGGTTATGGAGGTGGAAAAGTCTGCAGGCTGGAGAACCATGAAAGCCTGTGTGCTATTCTGTCCAAGTCTGAAGGCCTAAGAATTGTGGGGCTAAAGTTGTAAGTACTGATCTGAGTCTGAAAGCTTGAAAACCAGAAGCGCCAATGTCTGAGGACAAGATGGATGTCTTAGCTCAAGCAGAGAAAGCGAATTTGCCCTTCTTCTGCCTTTTTGTTCTGTTTAGGCCCTCAATAGATTGGATGATACCCGCTCACACTGCGGAGGGCGTTTGCTTTACTCAGTTCATCAAATCAAACGT